ATTGGTCTTAGTTTGTTATAGATTGTTACACAGAGTCTTTTTCTACTAATAATTTCACAAATCAGATCGTATGCTATCATCATGCTTATAAATATGCTCGTAAAGTATTTAAGAAACAGCATATCGCATCGCTTTAGATATAGTAGTACTCATTACATCAATCAACGACTTTCTCTATAGTTTTTCTTATTTACTTCTGAAATTTAATGATATACCTCATTACATGGCAATAAATATTCATAGCGTTATGCAATCTACTTTTTATGTAGCATGCCAAGCAATTATACCATAAGCCCCAACTAAATTACTTTATTTATTATTAACAGATTATAATATTTCGAATTAACATTATGACTCTTGTTTATTCTATTTTTTAACAATGTAACTATAAAATGCAAGTATTAGTCATCAACCCACGTACAATAATAATAAAAAACTACAACTATCAAAATACGATACAGTTTCAGCAATAATCTATATAGTTTTCATACTAAAATAAAATAAATGATAGCGTGAATACCAGTAGTATTCACTATTACTAAAATACTAATGGACATTTCACTTTTCTATTATAATAGAAGGTGAAGCTTAGTTACTAAAGCATTTAAGTCTACATTACAATATGGTATAGCTTTTGAAGCTTTTTTAGCTACAAGACAAATGAGAATAATGATCAAATGTTTATGACACATAGTAAATTCAATACGACCAAAATTGCCAAAGTTACCGTGAATTAATAACGTATTAATTTTAATTTTAATTTCCAGCTACGAAACGAATTTGCCAACAAGTATAATAAAGTAAACCGTAATGAAAGTCTTATAAAAGATATAAAATGCAACGGTTGCAATCCTGATATTATATTAAATTTTCTGTATGACTTGGAACACTTTGGTAAATTGCGTTGGAGTTTTGTTCACTTTAAATTTCGAAAGTCAAACTTACTTGGAAAGCACTTCAATAAACTGTCACTCCTATATATTTCCTTAAAGAGATATCGAAACTTTATACTATTTGGAAGCTTACAAATACAATAAAGAATAGTCTTAATATCGTTAAACTATAAATAATTTTCGTTTAAATTCATGAAATGGCAATTAAGTATGAAATATAACCCTGGTTTAGTAACGGTTTAGAGTTTAGAAATGAATTTAAAGAAATTTAATAAAGATAACTATAATTATTTTTTGGATATTTATTATACACAAGAATTACTCAGAGACTAATTTACCGTACCAATAAACTAAAATTGCTTATACTGATTGTAATATCAGCCACTACCATTGCTATGACATATGTCGAAATGATTAACTATCAAACCTAATATACATTCGATTCTAGTCAGTCAAACTCATCTGGGTTGCTGTTAGTAGTTGCCATTTCCCGGCAGTCATAAGTAATTATAAATGCTTGAGAAGTCTAAGCACCATTGTTTGCGCTGTTTGATTTAGTTACGTTCAGTAGTCAAATCCATCGTGATCTATAGTAGCTCAGTTAGACCTTAAGGTCAAATAATATTCAACGTCGTTTTGGGTCATTGGTTGGTCTCAAATAAAGAGCAACCTAGGACTAGCAGATATCGGTCAAGTATTGATTGTGTAGAAGTTGTCCAATTAGTACATTAGTCGGAGTACCTCGAGAATTTCCCGCATCTGCGGATGAAATAGTTCTCGTACTATACTGTAATGTAACTTAGTATTGTGATTGTAGACTGTTAGCCATGTTTAGTATAACGTACGGTAAATATTTATCCTAAGAGATATTTGGTAGCCATAACTATAGATTGCAGTGGTATAGACTCTATACTAGAGTACAGATGACTATATACAGTAAGGTCTTGAGTTACTAATAAGGCTATAGGTAAAAATAGAACTGTAAATCGTATATTGGGATATGGTCAATTTATTGTACTTTGACCGGTGTGAATAATGTCGACGTAAATACTGTAGTCGTATCCATATTGGATTAATGATGGTCCGCAGTAGAATAGTGTTACTAAGAATAATTTAACTATGTGTAAAATAAGGTAAAAGGTTGTCATGCGGATTGTAGCTGCGAATGCTACAATAAGTATAAAACCATGCAACTTTAGATTATTCTGTTAGTTCGTTCTAGAAATCTTTATTAGTAATATTCGGCTAGAGTAGAGCTGTGTGTAGTTAATCTTTATATAAGATTCAATAAAGCCCTTATTTTTCTAAAATTTGGAATTTCGTGATCGGTATATATCACAAATATGTTAAAAATACTGAACGGTAGCACTATCATCTGCGTAATGTAATAATATCGCATATTGTCTGCTAGGATAAATCGCTTTAAGTTTATCACATTAAAGTTGAATTCATTTCGTATAATAATTGCTTTCTTAATATATCTCTAATTTAATTGAACTTGATGTTTAAGATATCGCATGAATCGCTGCAATCGTTAAAGAAGCTAAATAGGAGAGAAAGAAAATTAGCGATCTATGGACTGATTGATTAATAATTAATTTTGTTACGTTGAGCTTTTAGAATTCCTAAGAATTATAGTTGCTACATTACTGGCTTTAACTTACTAGACAGTAATAATCTAGCAAATTTAGCCAATTTAATTTTTTTATTCTAGATACTTATTCAATGGTCTATCTTTTTTAAATGATCGCTCACATTATTATTTACAATTTCTTTATCGATCAAACTCACAGATTGTTCTATCATCTAAGCATGTATCATTATCCATTTAGTGTCTAAATTTCTTGCGCAGTTAGGACTATTTGTATAGGTAGTTGCTACGGAGCAAAGCACCGTACTTGCTAATTAAATAGATTTTGTTAGTATTTAGCTAATGGATCATATTTGTGTGACCGAAAGTAGTAAAGAACTACCATACAGTAGATCTCCAGGTGTGGTGGAGCAAGGCATAAGTAATCTATTAGTTTAGTGTAGTAGTTTGCAACATAAGTTTGTGACAGTAGTACTTTAGAGCAATTTATCTATGCATACTAAGCAGACCATAAATATGTGGCATTTGCATTACAATTCATTTCTATAAAAATATTTCAAACTTATTACAAAGTACATACTACGTTCTACTTAGCCTATCTAATACCATTATTGACAACCCATATTCTATTAATTAATAATTAATGTAATTATACCTTACGTCAACTAAATATACCGTACACATTGGCGTTACTTACCAGTAATCGCTCCATAATGCAAGTCAGGTGATTACTCTATATATTACTATTAACATAGCACACTATTACTTGTGGATACTATTCAAGCTTTCTATAGTGAATCTAATGCAATAGATTACTGATTATTAATTTATGCTATTTAAATAATACCAATACTCCCATGGCATTTACTTCAATTCGACGCTTGATAAACATCACTTACCCGCAGGCATCATTCGAAAACAATGTGACTTTATTTTTTATTTACAAATCATTTCATTATCCAGCATTATATCTTATAAGCGTCGCCCAGTAATATATCATGGGTTGGCCATAAGTCGATTCAGCAATTATATAAACTTGAATATTAATGCCAAAAAAACGAATCCTTTTTGATTATGCAACACTTTATTGCAAACAAATTCAAACAGTAGCATTTATTTTAAGAAATTGTTTGTTAGCAATAACCAAAAATATTTACATCTTGCTCACTTATTTTCATAGGGTTGCGTAGCAATGTTGTAACCTTCCTCGAATAAATCAAAATAGTGCAAAACTAGATTCGTTGAAGGAACTTATAAACGCTATCATGAACTAGGCCATCGAATCAAATATCAGATAATATACTATGAAATGCTACTAATTTTACAGTCACTATTTTTTAACTCACACCTTAAGCTGTGACGTTTATAACATCAATTAAAACTTATCGAGTTCACTTTAACATTTTCCACTTTTGCTTATCAATCATAGCCTCAAACTAAGTATTTATTTACTTGTAACAACCAGACGTCGTCATAATACCGCATAATTAGATAAGTATCTTTCATAGATATTTATAGGTTTTCTTGAATTTAATCCACTAGCAATAGATTTTAAATAGAGAAATTATAAATTTTTACAAAACCACTCACAAAACAGAATATCTTTACCTAATGAAATGTAACTTAGTGCTTTTATTTACTAGTACAAAGTTGTCTCACAGTTGGATTTCTACACGATCTAAATATCAAGAGGATAGTTTAAGCTTTCCTCATTTAAATAGGTGGGTGGCCTTTCGCCAATCATCATTTAATATTGTACTTACGATAATATATCATCTTAAACAA